GCTGTGCTAGGGGGTTCCTCACACCAGAAGCCATCATGGGCCAAACACCCGGCAGCCAGAGAACGAGCACTCATGGCCTTAAAAACCCTCTGCATGTTTCTTCCATGCATGGCTCCCTGCTCCCCCATGGGTGCCTGGCTTCCATTTCTTCCTGACTCCTGTCCCCACTTACTTTACCCCTCCCGTTCTTATCAATGGATCCCCTATAGCAGCAGAGCAAATTATGCAAAGAAGGAAGCCCCGGGATGCAAAGGCAATTAATTTGCATGATTTATAGGGAGCCCAGATTTATACTGGGCGGAGAGGGTTATTTTGGTCCAGAGCACATACAGATCCAACTGTGTGCTCTCAGCTTGTAAACGACAGGGGGTTGGCACCTCTCCCAGCTGCTGGGTCTTTTCTCTTTCCAACCAGCACAGACCCACTCTTCAGTCTGAACTGGTGGACCTGTGTTTGTCATCCCTTGGCATAATAATATTTGCAAAACACTTTGCTCCCCTCCCCCCCCCAACCCAGGCGGCCACCAGGGACCATCTCTCTGTTTTCCGCTCAGTAAGGCCTGGGACATGCTGTCCATGGAAAAATCACACTCATCAGAGAAAGAGAGAGAGAAAGAGAGAGAGAGCAGGAGAGAAAACGAGGCGACTACCTGGCTGCCATTTATAGAATCCTGAATAAGTGCCAATTTGAAAGCAGCCAAGCCCTGGTGTTTATGTCCCTCTTACATTTGCTACGGGATGGTTGATTAAATGCCTGGCGTCCATTTGGCACAATCCCCTGATATTGTAATTATGCTCCAGGGCCTCAGCCAAGCTGCGGCTGAAGACAATGGGGGCAGTGGATGCTGACAAACAAGGTGCTTGAGGTTTGGGGGTTGTTGTTGTTTCACTGTGTGAAAACCAATGAGAAAAGAGAAACACTGTGCAACTGTAGTGCTCAGCTCTATGGATGTCCAGGAAGCTCAGAATGTTCTGTGAGGTGTTCGTTATGTTCTGTAGGAAGAGTGAGCAGCGTGAAATCCATGCGTGTCAAAAGGATGTTGCCTAGTTTGCTCTCGTTCATTGCAGTGTGATTAGGCTGCAATCCTAGGCACCATTATTGAAAAGTAAGCCTCATTGAGCACAATGGGACTCACATCTGAGCAAACAAGCATAGGACTGAGCTGTTAATATATGTCATTTTTGCAGCATGCTGGATAATGAGCTGCAGTGGGTATAATGTTTTCCAGTACTTTAAACTGAGAAGCCATTGTTAGAAAAAGACCAGCCCTATTATCAGGCAGAATGAGGCAGTATCCTCAGGTGGCAATTTCCAGGGGAAGGAGAACAGCAATGAAAGTTTGGAAGGACAGAGCTGAGTCTGCCCTGAGCCAGTCTTTTGCCCTCAAGTGCAATTGAAGGCACTGTCCCATTATCACTGTTAAAGGGAGATTGAGTTGCCAGCCTAGTCAGCTTCTGACCGTGGAATGAGAGGGGACGCCATCTTGACCTTTGCCTCCGGCAGCAAAATGTCATGGATCAGCCCTGGTTCTTAGTCTGCCCTCAAGGGCAAGGTGGTAGTGATGGAATGGGACAAGAATATTAAAAAAAAAACGCCATGGAGTTTTTTTGAGCGATGAAAACCATTTGAGAGATGAGAGACAGGGGTTTTTGAGAACTTTTTGAGAACTTGAAAGAGAGGGGCAGGACTGTGTCTGGGAGGAGATGTGGTCTCCCACTTGTGTTGGGAGGGTGTATGCCACCTATCACCAAACGGTCCTTCCTTCTTTGGAACTGCTGTTGGAAAACCCAGCAAGGCTGTCACCCCTATGCTCCTAATCTAATGCCCCAAAGCAACTACACACTCTACAACCCTTATTTATATTAATTCTCAGGCCCACAACATTCAACTTACTTCCTAACAAATGCCCTAGGGCAGGGGTCAGCAAACTTTTTCAGCAGGGGGGCTGGTCCACTGCCCCTCAGTCCTTGTGGGGGGGCGGACTATATTTTGAAGGGGGGGAATGAATGAATTCCTATGCCCCACAAATAACCCAGAGATGCATTTTAAATAAAAGCACACATTCTACTCATGTAAAAACACCAGGCAGGCCCCACAAATAACCCAGAGGTGCATTTTAAATAAAAGGACACATTCTGCTCATGTAAAAACATGCTGATTCCCGGACCATCCATGGGCCAGATTTAGAAGGTGATTGGGCCGAATCCGGCCCCCGGGCCTTAGTTTGCCTACCCATGCACTAGGGGCTGCAGTTTTAGTCTTGATTGCGACTTCTATATCATGAACCATTTCTGCACTTAACATACAACAAGTGTACCTCTGTCAGCTTGCTAAGGTCTTATAAAACACCAAGGCTTCAGCTTACATAACACAGCAAAGGGTCAGAGTAATCATTAACCTTGCCCCTTTTCTAGTTCACTTTGTTCTCAAGTAACCTGTTTGCCTGGATTAAACATATAGCAATATGTTAAGAGAAGAAGAAGCAGCTCCACAGTGTTCTTCCTACTATTGACCAGGCATGGAATTTGAGGGAGGAAGGACAGGCATTCCCAGGAAAGGTGGCTTTTAAAAAATAAAAAAGGGATCAAGATCCACTTTCTTCCCTTCCAATGGTTTCAATATGCCCGGATACATTCCCCAGGAAATGACCTTAATAAAGAAAAGCTGTATCACTGGAAAGATCGGAAAGGCTCATTAGCAACATTTAAGCAAGAACAGGAATGTTGTTGGCATTTGATTGGCATCCTATTCGTGTGTGTGTGTGTGTGTGTGTGTGTGTGTGTTGCTAGTCAAGGCATGGGTCATAGAGTAAGGATAGGAAACTGCAACTAATCCAGAATGCTGCAGCTAGACTGGTGACTGGGAGTGGGCACTGAGACCACATAACACCGGTCCTGAAAGACCTACGTTGGCTCCCAGTATGTTTCCAAGCACAATTCAAAGTGTTGGTGCTGACCTTTAAAGCCCTAAACAGCCTCAACCCAGTATACCTGAAGGAGCGTATCCACCCCCATCGTCCAGCCTGGAGACTGAGGTCCAGCGCTGAGGGCCTTCTGGAGGTTCCCTCACTGCGAGAAGTGAAGCTACAGGGAACCAGGCAGAGGGCCTTCTTGGTAGTGGCACCCGCCCTGCGGAACGCCCTCCCACCAGATGTCAAGGAAATACAGTGGTACCTCGGGTTACATACGCTTCAGGTTACATATGCTTCAGGTTACAGACTGAACTAGAACCAGAAATAGTACTGCGGGTTAAGAACTTTGCTTCAGGATGAGAATAGAAATCGTGCTCTGGTGGCATGGCGGCAGCAGGAGGCCCCATTAGCTAAAGTGGTGCTTCAGGTTAAGAACAGTCTCAGGTTAAGAACGGACCTCCGGAATGAAGACATCTGAAGGCAGCCCTGTTTAGGGAAGTTTTTAATTTTTGAAATTTTATTCTGTTTTTTATGTTCTGTTTATTCTGTTTTTAATGAAAGCCGCCCAGAGTGCCTGGGGAAACCCAGCCAGATGGGGCAGGGTAGAAAAATATATTATTATTATTATTATTATTATTATTATTATTATTATTATTTAGAAAAACGATGTTTGATGAAATAGGCAACTGCCAATAAGCTGCTGTTGGAGCCAATTTGTACAAAGAGTAACAGTAGTAATTTTTTAAGTCCTGGTCTGTGCCCCTACAAGTGGGAAGATGTAAGTTTTTAATGTGTCCTCCTGGGCAAGGTGTGTGGGTACGGTGTGGGTTGTTTTTATTCTGAACAAGAATGCCTTGGAGAAAACTCACAGCTCAGATGTGATTCCTTCTTCTCGAGACATCGCTAGGTTGATATGCTCAGGATATTATTGTTGTACCCTACCCCAATCTCTGGGTGGTACAAGATTCCAAGGGTTCCGGACGCCTACCTAGGCTTTGTGTTTCCTTCTGGAAATGAGGCACAACGGAGACTGCAGTGTCTTTATGAGATGTGGTTTATTTGCACATATTTACAACCTGAGTCTACGATGGAGGGGTTCACAGTGTCAATACCCCAAGAGCGTCTTGCTTCCTCCATAGGCGCAGCCTAGGATTCCAGCAGAGATCCAATATGGTGCTGCCTGCTGTATTGCTTCTCAGTCGCATCACTCAGTCGCATCACCTCTCTAAGCTAAGCTCTGATTTTATCTTCTAACTCTGAGCTGAGGGAGGGGCCCCAACCATATGCCATCTTGCACCAAGTTCCTTTGACCATTTGTAGTCTTAATGGCTTGTCTCCCAGGCCATTTCCTGGACATAGGAAGCTTAGCCCCAACATGCATCATCTTATGCTTGTCTACCTTGTATTGTCATAGTTTTTCCTTCTGTGCAAATGCCAGTGCTAGCCAGTGGCCATACCAGCACACTCAAAGGGGAATGGGCTGTAGCATTTGCTTAGCATGCAGAAGGTCAATCACTGGCATCTCCAGGTATGGCTGGGAAAGTTCCCTGTCTGAAACCCAGAAGAGCTGCAGCCAGTCAGTAGAAACATTAAATAAGATGGACCAATGGCCTGTGCCGGAAGTGAAACAGCAAAGATCATTCTGTGTGCAAATTAATGGTTAATTTTGTTTAATGTTAAAGTCAACTAGCCAAGAGGGGAGTGGGTGGAGGTGTTACTTAGCAACCATGCAGAGCGACATGTTTACCAAGGTTGCACGTGCTCTGATTGGCTGTGTGGTCCTGAGGGATTTTTCCTCTGTATGTTTGGTTGTATGTCTCCCTGCTATGCACAAGGCCTGAAGTAAGAAAGACAAAACCTCTCTGTTATTGTTCAATTTTCTCAGTAAAGTGTAATCAGGATTTCTTTTCTCTCTGGATTTTGCGTCATTTAAGTTAGTTTCCTAGCAGCTCGACTCAGTATAAGGCAGCTTCCTATGTTTCGAAATGCTAGACATTACTATTCTTTCCCATCCACACTGCCAAGGGGCTCCATGGACTCCTGAAGAATATGATTGTGAAAACCAAGAAAAGCGCATCACATCACTTGTAAAATTTCAATTTTCTTTTTATTGTCAAAGTAAATATATTTTATGAAGAACAAAAGAAAAAAATATACAGGATTGTAACTTATGTACACTGGCTTTAAAGATATTCTTTTGTTTCAAATTTACACAATTTTCTCATACGTTATTAAAAGATATTTTATATAGATATGCAATATGTACAGTTTTATTTACATACATTCATAGGATGTGAGATAAAAACCAGTCAATAGAAGAAAGATTTGTTTATACTTGTTTCTTAGACGACAAAAGGAATGCATTCCTAGATGAAGGTAGTGAGTGGAGCTCTTGCTCGAACGTGGCCTGCATTTTGACCTGGTACGAACGCTAGAATTGCAGTGTTTTATTTCCCATTTGGCTAACAAAAAAGTTGACAAGACAGACAAGGCTTAATCCTACAGAAGTTAATTGCAACCAAGTCCCATTGAAACCAATGGATCTTCAGGTAGGAGCTACTAATCCCGTCCCATTGCTTTCAGAGGGGTTGAGTCACGGCTAACGTTTACTCAGTTGTGCTGACGGACACAGGCACCGTCTATGATCAGAGAAGAGATGCAACACGCTCAACTGTATTTTGCTTTAAACAAATATTCTCTAATTACCAGATTCTATTTTGCTAGAAAGCTTCCTACGATCAGCTGAGTACATAAATAAAGGAAAAAGAGGGGGTGCAGGGGGAAAATTTCCTAACACAATAATTTTGCTGCCAGCATTGCATTATAAGTATATATATATATTGATATATATATGTATGTACGTATTCCCTTTTTTGTTGTTGTTGTTTAGCCCTTGAGACAGCTACTGCACCAGCTGGCTAAAATGCACGATGCCCCAGTTGCATTGCTCTCCAAATAGCAGCCCATGAGGATACTCCACATTTGGGGGGTGCTTGCCTCCTACGGCTCAAAAAAAGTGCTTTCGCAAAACATTCAATAAGTCTTTTAAGTCCTCCCTCCCCAGTGACTGGGGGGGGGGTGTATAAGGATTTCATTCCACGCTGTAAACGGGGGGGGCGGGGGATGAGTCCAGCATTTCTTCACACATCCATCTGGGAAGATGCAAAGAGCCATCCCAGTTACTTCTGTGCCCATCAAAAGCCACGTGAGGAGGAGGTTGTAACTTTTGGCAGGAGGTACCTTAGGCTCCTGCAGGAATGGTACGTGATGCAGGCTATATTGCATGGTGAAAACGCAGTGGCCCAAGAAGCGGCAAAAACAAGGTATCACTCTTACATCCAGTCCTCCCACATCATGATCACCGGACTATGAATCTTTGCCAAAGAGCAAGCATCATTTGTACAGGCCTGTGAGCATCACTCCTCTCCAATGAAAAATATTTTATAGAGCACATTGGCCTGGCTATATTTTGGGCTCCATAGGAAGCCAACATTCAACGCTCTGCCTTAACACCAGCTACACTCACACACAAACACACTGATCAGCTATTGTACTGTCAGCCTACTTTGGATTATGGCTGGACTGTGACTTTGAGACCTATGAAGCAGCAGTCAAGAACTGCTCCCAAAGACTGGAGGGGGGCAGAGTCTGTCGCTGAGATGCACCTCACCCTATGTATATTTATCATCCATGAACTGAATGAGATTGGTGTGTTTTAGTAATCTGGATGATTGGGCAAAGGACATACATTCCACATTTTATCCTTTTGTTTCTTCCTCCTTTGGTTGCCAGCTTTTTGATTTCAAAAATACTGACCTCAGGAGGGGCAAGGGGTGGAATCAATACACACTGGTGGAATAGGAGATAACATGGAAGACTCTTGTCAGCCTGGAAAGGAACCAGGGAGGATTAATTTAGTGGCTTATGAGAACAGGCCCTGACAAGACTCCAGCAGAACTAGGAAGGATCTGGACCTTATGAGTTTTTCAGGCCACAATTCTGGCAGCTGACAGGATATTGTGCAGCAAAATACCAGCTGGCTTGCAATTTCCCACACAGAAACACAAATACACACATCGTACACCCAATATGCTCCTTTTGCCCTTCCTCATTTGATAACCTCTACAGTGGGGCAGCTAGATCATTTTAGACTCTGGACCTAACAGTCGCATGAGGCATCCCTCTATAGGTGGCTGTGTATGACTTCAAAATGTGTGCTGCATTTGGGGGCCTTCCTGCTCATAAGAAGAGCCCTGTGGGATCAGGCCCAAGGCCCATCTAGTCCAGCATCCTGTTCTCACAGTGGCCAACCAGATGCCTATGGGAAACCCTCAAGGAGGACCGGAGTGCAAAAGCACTCTCCCAGCCTGGAAGTCCCAAAACCTGGTATTTGGAGGCATGTGTTAGCTCCAACAGTGGAGATGGAACATGGCCGCCATGGCTAATAGTCATTGATGGCCTTATTCTCCATGCTTCTACTGCTGAGTGGGCCTTAGCCATCAAAGGCCTCTGCCCTGACAGGACTACCAGGCCTCTACAAACTCCTAGATAAGGAACACCATCACCTCAACAAAATATATAAGCCTACCACCCCACCCCAACCTTGCCAAAAAGGCATTGTTTTAATTTCGAAAGGAATTTGCTGTTTCCAAACTGGACAAATAGGCCAACTTAATAAGAATGCTTTAAAAAAAAAATTACCCCTCACAACGAATAGCCCTGTACATGAGCAAAGCCTTCAGGAATGCCAGAACTATAATTAACTAGCAGCAAGTAGCCCATAAATTATCATGGTGAAGGAGAAAACAGCTAAAAATAAAACACTGTAATTTCAAAAGGAAGAAGCATCAGCAAAGGAAAGGAAAAGAAATAAGGTAAAGGTGGTGGGTGGGTTTTTTTTTCTTCTTTTTCTTTTTTAAAAAATAGATGTGTGTGAAGTCATGGCATCAGCTGTTACAGGGAGACAAATAAATTATCGTGAGGAGGATACCGAACAAAGTTCTGTCAGTTCCTGTTCATGGGTGAAGGGGTGGAAAGGAGAAAGTGAGACACCCCCCCCCCTCAGTTCACTGAGCGCATCGAGCGGCTGCTTCTAGGAAACCGGTGGACTTTGACGTGCTTGGACAAATGGTCGCTCCGAGCAAACTTCTTCTCACACACGGGGCACTGGTACGGCTTCACTCCAGAATGCGAGCGCCTGTGCCGGGATAGTTCATCTGATCGTGAAAACCTGAAAGTCAGTAAGGGGGGAGAGGAAGGGTTATCAGTAGGTTGTTGTCTTTGGTTGTCATCAATGCATGAAAAACCAAAGGACGAAGTCACACTATGAAAAGAAGACAAGAAGTGATTTATAAGCAGACAGAACAAAATTGCATGTAAAACAAACATATACATGAATAGCAGAGCTGGCTGCTGTTGTGCAACAATTCCAACCATTTCTCCAAATACCTCAGGTTATTCTCTTATTATGACAAGATCTCCTGGATTTCATCCAGTTTCAACAGAACAAAATGGAGAATTTCTCACAGATGGCAGCTGTAAATCCCCTTTTGAAATCTTTGTTCATATGGTATAGTTCTTCCACAAAAGCTTAACCAAGGTACTTTCTATCCTGTAATCCCTATAATTTTATTTATTTTAGTAGATATCCTGCCTTTCTCCCAACATGGAACTCAACATGACATACATGGATTTCCTGGGCAGTCTCCCCTCAAGGCACTGAGCAGACTCAATCCACCCTACCTATATCAAGGTAACAGTATCATTTGCCCATAAACCATTCCCCTATGGGCCGGGGCTGCCCACTTGTCAGTCACCTGGCATCACAATTACACTCTGTGATCTGTTTTTCCATAGCACTGTGTACAGAAACCCCAGTGATCATCAGGTTATGCACACCACAGTGCATAGTGCTTTGCAAGCCCTGACAATCAGCTGATTGACAGGGATCACAGCTAAAGAATCCCTGACAGATGGCCATCCAACCTCTGTTTAAAAACTTCTAGTGAAGGAGAGTCCACAGCCTTCTGAGGTAGTCTGTTCCACTGTCAAGCATCTCTTACTGAGTCATTTGTTTAAGCTATGTGTAGACCAGTTAATTACCAATGTTTCTAAGTGGTGTACATAAAAATTAAAAAGCATGCAATGGATAGGATTGATTAAAATTACTCGTAAAAACTGAAAAGTTCCCCTTCAATTGCCTGCTGAAGAAGAACGGTCTCGTATGCCAAACACCTTTGTCAAGCAAATTCAATGGAGAGGAATGAATCAATCAATCAATCAATCAATAAATGCAGTGACTCACATTTGACATCAAGCTATTCCCCACATGCTCTAGCAGACCTGTCCCCAAAATGGTGGCAACATGTGGGAAATTCTCCAATACATTGGGACAAAGTCATTATCCATGAACCGCTAGCAGCACAGAGGCAGATGTCGGCCACCAAGCATAGTTAAAAGTAGTCATTGCATATCCACTGGCACTGATTTCAAAGGAGGAAGAGTGTGACACTGTCTCATACAAATGTTCCTCTCATATCGGAAGGCACAGAACAACGCCATTTTGAACACAACAAGGCTCAGTCAGATTGTGGAGAGAGGAGAGAGAGAGACCCTCAGCTAGCAATATAACTCTCTGAGCTTATATCTTAGGCAGCTCCTGCCTAACATCAGGAAAGGGGAAAAGAAAAGAAAAACCCTAAATGCAGTGGTACCTCAGGTTAAGAATTTAATTCATTCCAGAGGTCTGTTCTTAACCTGAAACTGTTCTTGACCTGAAGCACCACTTTAGCTAATGGGGCCTCCTGCTGCCACCGCACTGCCGTTGCACGATTTCTGTTCTCATCCTGAAGCAAAGTTCTTAACCTGAGGTACTATTTCTGGGTTAGCAGAGTCTGTAACCTGAAGCGTCTGTAACCTGAAGCGTCTGTAACCCGAGGTACCACTGTGCTGTCAATACTGAGATGAATTCATAGAGCTGCAAGGCAGGACAATGCTGATTTCTAGCTCCGCATAATGCTGAAACTCCTCTGAAAACCCCACGTGTTCAGGATGCACAACTGCCCCTTTCGAAAGATGGTGCTTTGAAGTGGGTGTCAGCTAGAACAGTAGCAAAGGTTGGCACTGAAAAGAATTCTTAAGAAGTGCTGTCAGCTGTTTGCTTGTAGTAAATGAATGAAGCCGCAGTCATTTACTAAATGCAAATTGGAAGAGAAAGGAAATCTGTAAAATGTGTTTGCCTGAAAAGATAGTAGATTGCTATGTTTAGGTGAATGCATTTTGTTTTGTTTTTAAGCAAAAAATAATAATTCTCAAGAGAAATGCAGGTGTGCCAAATTCCTGTGCCATCATTGTGTGAGGCTTGGATTTATTTCTGCACACACACACACACACACACACACACACAAATGCTGAGTCCATTGGGATGAGTTTTTATTATTAGCAAAATCAGGGGCAGATGCATGAGCACCTCAAAGATATGTGCTATCTGAGCCATGGAAAGCAGCGTGAGTTAATATGATAAGAATATTCTTTACCTCATGCCTAAACCCTGCAGTTGATCAGGTAACAATGTTGCTATGCTGTTGCCCAGCTTGCTGGGAAAGATCAGCTTACTATTCCAGCAGAAATACACTCCCTGATCCCTGCGTGTTTATACAAAAGAAAAGACTCGAAAGGTGAACATCTGAAGCACGTAGAATCCCTTGCGATCGCCACACACTAGCCTTACCAACTTTTGTTTGCTCGTTTTGGCTGGCCTTTGTGTCATGGTGCGCATGGAATGATGTAACATATCCTTAAAGAGTTCGATTCAATCACAGGTGGTTCTCGGGTCAAACAAGCAGGACATGTGACAGATCCTGGAATCATGGTAGCAAGCTGCCTGGGTTTCACAGCAATTAGCTGAGCCCCGAAAGTGAGAAAGGGGGAGATCTTTTCCCATATGTTAATTGCTCAGAAAATCTGGGTAAAAAGTGCTTCAGTGGGATTTAAGCATGCTTCAGTGGAGGGTTGCTGGCAGAGTGAAGCAGCTGCCTCAGGTTGGTTTAGGGGTGTCATAGAAGGGCAGCAATTTGTTAGTTATTTAATTGGATGTTGTGCCTTTACTCCCAGGGAGAGGTACTTGTGGATTTTCTGTCTCAAGTGCCTCGGATACTATGCACCTTGATTCAGAGAGGGGAACCCTCTGGAACTGCACATCAAGAGACACAATTTGCTTTGTGTCAGTTAATTGCACCTTCATATTATGCACCGCCAGTCCAGCTTCCTTGTTTTTCAAAAACCCACCCACATTTTCTTATGTGATGGCGGGTGCTTTAGAAGTGTGCAGACTGCAGCTAATGGACTATATCTGCTTTCTAGTGCAGCTGTGCTGAATGCCTTGCATAAAAGAAAAGGTACAAGTAGTAGCCAATAGGCACTGCTGTGTCTCCATATGTCCTACATCAGTATTCTTCAACCTCAAATCCCAGGCATTTGTTAGACTACACCTCCCAGCATCCCGAGTCAGGTTAGCCAATGGTCAAGGGTGATGGGAGTTGTAGTTCGACAGCATCTGAGGACCCAGGTTCAAATGCTTCTCAGTTAAAACGATTATCGTTTCCCACCCTTGAATTATAGCACCTTGATTGACAAACATTATTTTATTTTTATTTACTTATCAGATTTATATACACACAAAGGAATGGTATTCTGAAGGAAAAGCTGGTATGTTTCAAGTTCCAAGGACTGATATATAGAATTTCAGGTATCACACATCCTAAAATATCAAAGATGGGGGGTTAAATATCGATTTCATAGGTCAAATACCAACCCAGGAATTGGATATCTGCATTCAGCATGAAATCTGAGTTCAACTATGTGAACCGTAGCAGATTCCAAATTGGATTTTTGAATGAAAAATGCATTTCTGAGTTAATTATGGCGGTCCAGCCATTATAAGTGTATTGATGGCTTTCCAAATTATAAGTCCATAGCTCACTTACATTTTGTGTTTGCCGATTGCTTCATCCCAAGTTCTGGTAACACTCAACTCTTGCTAACCACATACTGCCAGTTTTAAATTGTTTTTAATGATAATTTGAATGTTTTATTTTATATTTTTTGTAAACTGCATAAGAGGTTTTCTTACAATCATGTGGTATATAAATTTTGTGAAATAAAATAAATAAGCAAACAAACACCTTGAACTGCATTCATAGAGGAGATGCAGTGTAATCGTGGGAAGGCGTCCGTTCCAATGGGAGATATTTGTCATTTGCCTGCAGGGCTTGTTTGATTGCTTTACACAACAGGTTATTTATTTTGTAGGCTCTCATAATGGTACAACAGTAACAAAGACGATAAATGGTCCCAGGGTATGGTCTGAAGGCAAGGGAGGCCACCACCCTGGTGAAGCGAAACTGGTCTGGCTCAAAATATAGGAAGCTGCCTTATTTTGAGTCAGACCAATGTTTTGCCTAGCTCATTATTATTTACTCTTGACTGGCAGAAGATATCCAGGGTTTCAGGCAACACCTTTCGGTTGCCTTGCATCAGGTCAGACCATATATTTATCCTACCAGTTTGGCATTGTCTGGCTAGCAGTGACACTCTCTCTCTCTCTCTCTCTCTCTCTCTCTCTCTCTCTCTCTCTGGGTCTCCAAGACACAGACCTTTCCCATCACCTGATGGGTCTTTACTGGAGGTGCCAGGCACTAAACTTGGCTCCTTCAGCATCTACTTGACTCTACTTAGGTTTGGTCCTTCCCCATGGAGAAGGAGCAGAGAAAGATCCATTTGATTCTGCCTTGCCTACTTTAAATGTGTTTTGATGTTCTACTACGGTAGTAATGCACTACTGTAAGATGAGCAACTGTGGTTAGATAACAGCCTGTGAAGCAAAGTCATTGCTGTTGCTGCAGCCATCATACTACAGACCGAAGGAGGGTCGTACCACACAGCAGCATGGGGTAGCCAACATGGTGGCTCCCTGGCATTGTAACACTCCAGCTCCCAACTTCCCTGAGCACTGGCCAGACTGACTGGGGCTGATGGGAAATGGTGTCCAATAATATCTGCAAGGCACAACACTGACTACCCCTGCAACAGAAGAATGGAGAAATGGAGAAGCCAATCTGTAGTAGATGTGTTAGAATATAGGTACATCAGATTTCCTGGTGCATTTTGAATACCCAGGTTCTCTTTTGAGGGAAGCTATTCATTTTGTTTTTAACCTCACTGTCTCATCTAAAAGAAGGAGCAGCTTTAGTGCTGTCCATAGCTAAGTTATAAGAAAGGAGATTCCGACCAAACTTCAGAAAAAACCTTCTGACAGTAGGAGCTGTTTGACAGTGGAACGGACTCCCTCGGGAGGTTGTGGTCTCTCCTTTCTTGGAGGTTTTTAAGCAGAGGTTAGATGGCCATCTGCAATGGATGCCTTAGGCCCTTCAGGTCCCTTCCAACTCTACAGTTCTTTGATTCTAAGTATTGTGTTTCCATTTACACAGACCAGGGCAATTTTCTTTAATTGCTCTTGATGCAAACAAACACCTGAAATGCATCTGTTTGGAAAAAGGAGTCCTACACAAAGAGGAAAAGAAAACAACTAAAGGAAAAATACCAGAAGTGTATCTCTTGGGCCTGTGTGTTCAATACAGGGCGATAAAGAAAAATGGAAAAGAACAGAAGCTCCAGGTGTACTCGGCACACACAAGTCATGTGAGGTCCCAGCTCTCTCTGAACTTCTGGAAAGTAAACATTCTCTGCTGATAAAAGGAAAGCTGTGCAATTTTGGGCTCAGTTACCTCCAGCCACTTGCCAATCTCACTTTGATGGCCAAAAACACCACATAAGTGTGCACTGAAATTCTGGACTAATCCTAGAGAGGTATACTGGAAGAAACAAACTCCTTAGAAAATGGGCGGCCGCCTCTTCCTTCCTTTTAATAACAAATGCCCATTGCAAATGTGGGGTGGGAAACCCTGGGCCCTCTCTGGCCCTCAAGACTCTCTGAAAGCTATGCTCCACCCAAGCCCTGCCCTTTACACACAATCCACACCCTGCAGTGGCCATACTCTGCCATCTCCTTGAATAATCTTGCCTGCCTGCAATCTGCCACTGATCTGTTGATCTGCTGTCTTCCATAAGTCTCCTCCTCATACTGACCATGAGCTAGAGCTGTCAAATGTACATATCAGCTGATGCAGTTAACATAATAGCTCCCACCCAAAAAGATTAAAGGGCGTAAGGATCTGCAGGATGTGTAGTTTCTCAAGTAAAGAAAGGGGAAGACCTCTGGTGATGCAGTGGCGTAGCGTGGGGGTGCAGGGGGGCCGGCTGCACCGGGCGCAACATCTGGGGGGGCGCACTCGCACTCGCAGCTCTCTGCCCCTACCTGGAGGGGGCGCAAATTACTTGCCTTGCCCCGGGTGCTGACAACCCACACTACGCCACTGTTCTCCACAGCACTTAGACCCTGGATGCCACAGTACCAGGCCTACCCAACTCACAATGCACCAAAGCAGATCACAGCTGTGCATTGTGGCCAGCAAGGTGCATGCTGTCCCTTCCCCTGCTTTTTGCAGAGGCAGCAAAAACATGAGAGGTCTATCAAACCTCTGGTGGACAATCATCCATGGCTGGTGTACATCACTCATGCTAGTCAGCTGTTACTCACAAGGACGCAGGCAGTCATCAATGCAAGCACATTCCCCATCACAGCAATGCAACATATCGCCTGGGCCATATCCACTGCCCTCTCTCCTGTGATAAATGTACAGCTGCCATTTTCTGAACTTTGTGACATTCCACAAAGCCGAACCTCATAAAGAAGGTATCTTAGATATTAGTTCTTACTCTGTTTAAGGGTTGGGCACTCCGGGCCTCTCTCTCTAGCCCTCAGGCCACATGTCCTGCCTTAGCCACAAGCCATCACTGGCCCATCTTCTCATGAGTGCTTCTGCATGGCTGGAAAGTATCCTAGAATTCTGTCAATGCCCCTTGCTTGTCTGGACGGAGGATAGATCGTGCTGTGTAAGCGGGTGTAGAAACTCACCTACTGCACAAAGGTAACATTTGCATTTGTTGCTCCACCCAATTTGCTTCCAGACTCACCCAACACTTGCATGTGGCCTCTGAACAGTGGCCAAGAAGGGAATGTGGCCCTCAAGCTGAAAAGGGTTCCTCACTCTTGCTGTAAAGCAGGGGTGTGGAACTTTGGGCTCTCTGGGTGTTGCTGAGCTACAACTCCCATCAGCCCCAGCTCAAGGCTTATGGGAGCTGCAGTACAACAACATTTGGAGACCAAAGGTCCCCCACCTGTGCCCTAAAGCAGAGTTTCCCAAACTTGGGTCTCCAGCAGTTTTTGGACTACAATTCCCATCATGCCTGACTACTTTTCCTGCTAACTAGGGGTGATGGGAGTTGTAGTCTGAAAACAGCTGGAGACCCAAGTTTGAGAAACCCTGTCCTAAAGCATACTAAAAAATAAATTTTTAAAATTGGTGATTTCAGGCTCTTCTCTACGACTTGTGACAGTTTCACCCACTGCCCTCTTGACATCTTCTGCTCATGCGATCCATGCTCACTTCCCTTGAAGTTAGGAAAATGACGTACATTTGTGGCTTTCATAAAGTACATCCTCAGAAGAAAGGATGGAAGAGCAAAGAGGACTGGACAGTCACTGAGAGTCCTCAGACAGGCTTGCTGGGATTTCAAGTCCATTGGCTACAGAATACCAAAATCATTTTCCTTCACCAGCATTTAAAAAAAATCTGAACATTTGTCATAATTTCCTCACATCCCCCGCTCACAGAAACAAAATTTTCCACAAAAATATTTACATTAGGGTTCACTGTTAGGGAGAGCAAATATTCTAAATGCCATGACAGGAAGCCATCAGGACAGGAGGCCAACTGCGTAGTTAATAATCAACTATTTCCCTAAAAACCACGGGTGAGAAATGTTATGAGTCGCTCCTTGCAGGCATAGGGCAATCAACCTAGGGAAGTGTCACAAATATGGAAATTGAAGAAGATAAATACTGAGTCAAGCCAAATGTCCAACCGAGAATCTCATGCCTCCAGGCATGACCAACATTGGATCCTACGCCATAGGGAAACCACAGCGATTACACAGCGATTCCTCTGTCTAGTCTCTCTTACTTACAGCCTGCGGAAAACAGAGGGTTTGGAGGCATTTTGACTAAGCCTTCCCCATTCTGAAAAGAAGCATGCCTATTTCATCCTCAAGTATCCATGCCCAACTGCAACATGTAGTAAGTACCACCCACTGCAAGATGGCATTTGACATCGCCTCACAAGTTCAGGGGTGGAAGCCACAACAAAGATGCTCAGCACACGGATGAGATGCAGGTCAACAGACATTTAGCAGACCAGATTTGCAAAGTCTTGTGGAATTTGTGTTGATTCAGTCAGGAGTGTCAAGCCATTCAGAAAGCAGAGATTTCCATGTGTCTGATTGTATGCATTCACTTAAAGATGGTGAATATGGATATATAATTGATAATTCCCCCTCCCTCTTTTGTCACTAACTGCAATTATAGGAACATATGAAGCTGTCAAAATACTTTGCCCATCTAGCCTAGTACTGTCATCTCACCTGCCACTCAACCATTTAACTGGAGAGGATTGAGCCTGGGACTTTTTTGTATTCAAATCCTGTGCTTCACCACTGAACTCTTCTTGGCACCTATCCTTTCCTTTGGTGCTGATTGCAGGAAATGCATCGCAGCCAAGCCCATAGTATACAGCTCGCAATGCCTGTTCTGACAAGTTCAATCTCTCTTTTATGAGCTGAGATGACAACTGTTTTTGTTGAAAAACAAAACCTTTTCTGCCACTAAAGCCCAAGAGGTTGTGCCATTTGATTCATAGATGTTGCTAGCGTCATCTCATTTCGAGAGAACATGCTTAAATTCTAACGATCGCCAGGTACTAGAGAAGAAGGCACATCCTTCAATTAATTTGGTTCAAAATCACCGGCTAGCAAATAACGTGGAACGAATGGCAGTATTATGTGACCCAGCCTGCCACCACACCCCAATACTGACCTCCATCCGCAACCGGGCCACGTACACGCAAAGGGTTTCTCTCCCGTGTGCCTCCTCAGGTGGGCTTTCAAGTGGCTGCTTTTAGTGTACATCTTGGTACATCCGGGGAAAGTACATTTGTGCATTTTAATGAGTTCTGCCGCAGGGTTCTTTTGAAACTTTTGACCCATGATGACCCCCGTTTGCCCCTGGATCGTACCTCCAGGCCCGATTGGTTTTGCAGCGATCGGAACTGGGGCTATGCGGACAAATTTGGAGGAGGAGTTCAAGTTGGATGACGGAACAAGCTGTGGCACAAGTGCAAACGTTTGCCCTTGGATGTTGACCAGGAGCTGTGCGATTTTAATGTTCTCTTGCGCAGGTCCCTGTGAACTAGGGCTTGCGTTCGATGCTTGCTTAACTTGCACTGGTTGGATTTGGAGCATGACTGGGATCCCCCCATCGAGGGACATGGCTCCGTTTGATGCATCCATCGTGCCGCTTGACTGTTCGCTTTTGCTATCTTTTAAACTATTACTGGGTACCATGTGATCTTTGGGCTGCATGGAAGCCACAGTTATCTGGCCACAAGCTCTCATGTCTTTGGTCTCGCTTTTGGGTCCTTCCTTGAGCTCTGTCTCCATGTTCTCTTCCAGAAACTCCTCGATTTCCTCCAGGGTGGGCTGAAATGGTCCCGAATCCTCCATCTCCACTGTGAATTCGGGCATCCTATAATGCTCCTCCTTCACAATAGGCTGAAGTCTCCTTTTGTCCCACCAAGAGGCATGGCCATTCCCCAAGGATGCCTGAGACAACAAGTAGTCCAAGATGCTGTCCTGACTCTCAGCACTTGACGAGCTCCCGCAGCTTGAGCTAAGGACCTGGGAATCGGGACTGGAACAAGAGCAAAAACTGGAAGAGTCGCTGTCATCTTCCGACAAGGGGGACGGCAGCATGTGGTACGACCTGCCGATTGCTGTCATGTCCCCAAAGTATCCGAGAAGAGGCCTTGCAGATGAGAAGGACTCATCCGCAGGAAGCAAGTGATCCACCATCCCGGGATAATCTCTTTATAGGTCTCCCACCAGCATGTACCAACAGAGCGAAAGCCTGGATATGGGAAACACAAACACCAAGAGTCAGAAGTCAGGTTTAATCATTCATCTCAATGCACTAAAACTACAAAGCTTTCTCCAGCCTGGCCCACAATCCTTGCTGCGTGCTCATGTTGCTACATGTTTTGATATTGCCTGTTATCACCCAAGAGGATTTCTTGAGAGCTCTTTTTCCAAGATTGCACCACATGCTTGCAAAAGAATTCTCTCTGAAACGCCATTTCACAACTATGTGTTCTGGAGATTTACAACAGCCTACTTATTTCCAAAGGATTGCTGGTGAGGAGAAAGATGTCCTTCAATGTCCTTTTCCTTAGCCGTGGATCTTGCAGCCAATGCTAAAGGGTAGAGAGAGCCAGGAACGAGGCCGAGGGAGGAGAACTGTTGAAACTTTTACCATTCCCAAACCTCCATATCAAGCAGAGGGTTTATTACTAGGTTGCCGCTTTCCACTGGCTTTATTTTTAACTTTCTCACATATACAAATATAGGCTAATCAGCGTAATGCAAAGCTTGGGGTGGCAGGAGCTAAAAATATTGGCTAGACTTTGACAGTGAGGATTTTCCTCTCCGGGTTAATGATTCAAATTTTCTACTGCCATTATCTGTTGCGCTGCTCTTGATACAGGCTTGAACCAAGCCGGATTATTTAATCGCCATACCTTGGCAAAGAGGGGACCGTTCCCCACCCCTCAAAGAAAGATTACTAGCAAATTTTAGCTCTGGTCTGCATGCCCACAAGTCCAGTGTAAAAACTTCTCTCCAGCATATTCTCCTGCCTTTCATTTGAAGCACTGCCTTGGGATGAACTGAAGCATGTGACAGCTTCTAAATTTGGAAGACTCCGGTCAGAATTAGCATCTCAATTCTGGCTTTGGATTTCAAAGCATTGTGACCAGCCTCATTGTGCCATGTTCCTGACAAGCACCATCAACTCACTTAGCCTCAGGAAGACCTGGGAGTGAATTTCCTACGGAAGAGCATCTGGGTGGGGTGGGGGAGAAATCATGCACAGGCCTTTCCTGCTCTAGCTGCCCCAAGCAAAACTCTCACAGCAAAACACCCATAGCTTGTGCTCTCGGTTGTGAAAGGGAAAAGATACAGTCTCGGGCAGACAATTATTTGCTCTTCCAGTCAAGGAAACCTACTTTGCCTTGGGGGAGGGTATATGAATTGTGGTGGCAGATCCTTTAAGAGCCAGTGCTGGTGTAGTGGTTAGAGTGTTGGACTATGACCTGGGAGATCAGAGTTCAAAGCCCCACTTGGCCATGAAGCTCACTGGGTAGTCTTGGGCCAGTCACTGCCTCTCAAACATATTCTACCTCACAGGGTTGTTGTGAGGATAAAATGAGAAGAGGGAGAACCTCTTGGAGGAAAAGGTGCAATATAAATGCAATAAACTTATAAAACCTGGGTTTGGAAGAAAGAGGGTGAACGTGAGAGCGTGAGAAGGGGCAATGGAAAACAAAGGAGATCTCAAACACACCTTTTGCAAAGTCATTTCTAGCATGCTCGTCTGCTATTGCTATTGCTGCCGCAGCTGCTTTGCCACAAACTGTTGTTGATATTGTCCAGGGGTAGGCAAAAGATGCTTACTATTCCCTGTATAATCTGTGCTTTTACTGCATCTTTTAACTCGCCCCATCTTTGTCTCGTTCCGCTCAAAGAAATAAAATCCAAAGCACGCACCGCACAGCTGAGATGGCAAAAGATGGATTTTGCACACATCTTCCATCAGCACCAGCCCACTGACATTCCACAGGAAGCCTGAACAAGTGAAAGTACATTTCTTTGAAAAGCAGCTTCCTGACTGATGCAAGGCTGGGGACGTGGATGGCGAGTCCTGAAGCAAAAAAAGCATTTGTTGGCTTCCCAAGCTGCACACTTTCCTAGTTTACACACAAACGCCAGCCATCTCTTCTTGTCAAATGACTACACTTATGAAATGTTCACATGTGCTGAACGGGAGGAAGTTCAATCAAAGGTTAGGCTTCACGATGCAAAAAAAGAGGAAGGCGAACAAAGTTATTATGACATAAGCTTTCATGGGTGACTGTCATTAAATGCTATGCAGAATTCTAGATACATATGTGGTTGCAGCAGAATGGTATACTGTGAGATCAGAAGGAAAGGTAATGCCCCCAAAAAGGACATTTTATTAACAATGATCATTCACACATATAAGTAGTTAAATAATGCATGTAGGGTGATTTATTTATTTTTTAATCCATTGTGTTGGTTCAGTTCACAAGAGATAGCTTTGAGCCTCTCGGTGTATGGTAATTTATCCATTCCACAATGCATTTTCACCTCTTTTTGCATAATAATCACTATGAATAGTAAAGGGGATTCTTCACCTACACAGGTTAATTACCTAAGGATGCTGCAGATCAGATCTGAACCTCCAGAGTTTTCTCCTTTGTACTGCTCCAGGTTTATAGTTTAACCCTGTTCATGTCTACTGATAAGTGAGTTCCATTGAATCAAATGGGATTTGCACCCCAGGACTGCAGGTTTAATCAGTTTGATAGATTAATCAACTAAAGCTTTAGCTGATTAACCAGTAGGGAAAGGTGAGCATACATGTGTTTATTCAGCCTGTGGTATATTGGTGTAATAGGAATGGGGGGGGGTGGAATACAAAAGATGGCATTTCCTTATAAAATTATAAACTCACACTCCCTTTAATGTTGTGGGGGATGGGGAATCACCCTGATAATGGGCATAAGGAAGGTCTTCTGAGTAATATCATCCTCCTTATTCCCCGACAGAAGTTTTGGTAATACGCCGTCAATGAATTGATCAAATCAGTCAGCAAGCAGGCGATTAACCAACCAGGGATTTCTGGGCACAATTCACACAAGGGATTGTCTTAATCTATGATGTCCTAAGGGAACTTTGCCAGCACACACAAGTGAGTGTACACACCAGTTCAGTATGTTCAGATCTTTGGAAGACACCCTGCTCTGAGTGCCATGCTTTCTGGCGTAAGGAAGGTCTTCTGAGTAATAGCATCCTCCTTACAGAATCTCCTCCCCAGAGATGCCCAGCAAGCTGCCAGCTTGTTCTTTTTCTCGTTTTGAATCAAAGCTTGTTGGGAGGAAAAGACATCAAAATGCAGCGCTAGGCATTTTAATATGATCTTCATTAGCTCCTCTGCAGGCATTCGAGTGCCACGTGGTGGGATGAAGCATTTCAAAGCAGAGATGCATTAATGAATCCTGCCCCAGTTTGGTCACAGTCCAAAGCTGCAACCTTACCATGGAGGGAGCCCCCCACTGAAGCTAAGGGCACTTGCTTCCGAGCAGAACTGCACAGTTCACAAGTTCCACTGGGGTGTGTTGCAGATGGCATGCAGGAGGGAGGGGGGAAATGGGAAACATATGTCTCCAAAAATGCAGGGAATGCATGCTGGCGCGCCTTAACTCTCAAATGGCAGTCTATGCCTCACCAAAGGAGGGCATGCATTTGATTTGCATAAAATCTGCATGAATTCAATTCATATGCATAGATACAAAATAATAAACCATTGTACTATAATTTAAGTAGAAATACAGTACCTTTTACTACAGTGGGGAAGGTGGCCTGTTTGCCTGCCCAGCCTGCTGCCCAGGCGTCCCCTGTTGACGGGCAACTTCAAGGCTCTTCCTGCTCTTCCTTCTGATGGGTTCTTTATCTTTAAACTTGACTCGGACGCCTTCAACAGAGGGCTGTCCTCCGTAGGACACGTGGCCTCCCTAATATTTCCTGGCAAGGGCCTACGATGTGTCCCAGGGTATTTGGTTTGCACGTCTCTCTTTTAGACTTCCATGCTTATGCCCATTCATGCAAATGGACTGAAATCTTACCTAACTCTGTACTGGACTGTGACCAAAGTGCAGAAAACAGCACTGTATCCAGGTTGCTATGCAGAGGGCCAGGAAAAAGGAGCATTTTAGAAGGAAAGTGTGCATGCCAAACATACAGGAAGTGGAACGAAGCTGAATGGAATGGACAGGGAAATAGGTAGAAAAACAGGCAGAAACTATCAGGTTTGCAAATCCTGGGAGCTAATGCTGTAAGGCTTAGTCCTGAACAGATATGTATAGGATTGCACCTTCAGGGCACATTTTAAACCATGAATGGCTGATTTGTGGCCCTCCATATGTTGCTAGACTACAGCTCCCACAGCATCCCTGACCATTGGCCATGCTGGCAGGAACTGAGAGTACTTGGAAGCCAACCACATCTGGAGAATCGTCAGCCAACGCTGTTTCGAATTGTCCTTGTCAGCTCAGGAGCTAGCATTTCAAGCAGTGATAAGGGCAATATTAATCTCCGTGATTTCATCAGAATACAGGGTCCTTGAATCAGGTTCTGGGGTGGGGGAGGAGGGAGGGGGAGGAATGACATGAGAGTCGGCAGATGACGAGAATGCTTTCTAGCACAGGGCCAGCTGCTATTCATCTTACATTCCCATATCCATATGGCGCAAATCAGTACTCTCTCCTCCAGTGAAAGAAGAAATGCCAAGAGGAGGCAGAAGGGTGAAACCCTAAAGGCACAGAGGTCAGTAGGCAGATGTGAGAACTTACACCACTTTCCTTGCCCTATCAGAGCTGTCACTGGAGCCAAAGGGAATTCTGGGTATTGGAGGAACATGCTGGATTCATCACTTGCCTGCTAATGACCAAATCCTTCTTTTTTTTCCCTTTTCTCTTTTGGAGATTCTTAAAGAAGTATGTAATAGTAATGTTAGAGTCATGGGGAAAATACATAGCTGTATTTTCATTTACCGAGGCCTGCCCACTTTCAACAGTTTATCCATGAATAAGTTTTGTGGGGGTTATTGCTATGGTTTAGTTTGTTCTTGTTCTCATTATGTTTTTTAATAGGGGTTTTTTCCCCTCTGCAACTGAAATGCAGTCAGCTCTGGGGTGAAGCACATTGACCCTTCCACAGTACTCCAAACCTCCGCAATATCCTCACAATATTGTTTTCTTGCTACTGATCTTTCAGAGCTGCCTTGTTTTGGGAACAACAGTTGCCTGTTTAGGTCACCAGCTAAATATTAAAAGGGCAGCAAATGTACTGCATGCCTGTGCACTGCTGTATTTCAGAGTAAGCATTCAGAGGAGAATGCAGAAAGCTATGCAAAACTTGAGCTGCTTGTCACTCCAGGGAACATTAGAGGACGACTGGGGAGCAGAGAGATGTTGCTGCTAACAGTATAATCCAATTTGGTGCCTTTTAAACAGCTGTGGATATGCTGACAGCTACTTTCTAGGGTTGCCAACATCTCCTCTCTTTGATGCAACGTAATCCCCTAAACCTATGTTCTCCCTACTACAACCAATTGCACCAAGAGGGATACCTGCTGAGGGAATGCACAAGTCCCATTGGGACATCATCAATGCACCTTCAAGAAAGTCCTTGCATCAGGGCATTGGAATGCCACAGCCCAGGAATCCCAATAAACAGCAGAATTACTTTGCATGCAAATGTCATTGCTTCTGTATAGGGAAAGTGCCAAGTCAAGAAGCCAGTGTGGACCAATGCTGGATCTGTTTCCACCAAGGGAACTCAACTCCCGGCCTCTGCTTGACTGTAGGGGGGTAGACCTAACTCCCTCCATCCCTTGTGATCTAAGGGTGCCGCATTGCTAGCTCTGCTTTCCTCCACTGTCCTAACTGGGCCCTAATATCTGTGCACAGGTGAACATCCACAGGGCTCTTTCACGTGAGGATTTTCCCTCACATGGAGGAGACCTATGTGTGTAGCTCTGCATGCACAAAAGGGCCTATTATCATTCTACATGGCCTCTAGGATACCTGTGATCTACGCCCTTAGACCACATCCCAGTCTCAATTCTTCCTCTGCCTTCTCATACATGCTCTGTATATACATACCCTCCAACATTTCTCCGATGAAAATAGGGACGCCCCATTCCATAATGATAATTTTACTATTTATACCCCACACATCTTACTGGGTTGCCCCAGCCACTCTGGGCAGCTTCCAACATATATAAAAATATTATAAAACATTAAGCATTAAGCATTAAAAAAACTTCTCTATACAGGATTGCCTTCAGACAGCTCAGGGGTCAGATAACTCCATATCCTCCAACGTTTCTCCAATGAAAATAATATAATAATTATTTATTATTTATTCCCCAGCCACTCTGGGCAGCTCCCAACCAAATATTAAAAACACAGTAAAGCATTAAACATTAAAAACTTCCTTAAGCAGGGCTGCCTTCATATGTCTTTTAAAAGTAAGATAGTTGCTTATTTCCTTCACATCTGAAGGGAGGGTGTTCCACTGAGAGGGTGCCACTACCGAGAAGGCCCTCTGTTTGGTTCCCTGTAACCTCACTTCTCGCAATGAGGGAACCGCCAGAAGGCCCTTGCAGATGGACCTTGATGTCCAGGCTGAACAATGGGGGTGAAGACGCTCCTTCGGGTATACTGGGTTGAGGCCATTTAGGGCTTTAAAGGTCAGCGCCAACACTTTGAATTGTGCCTGGAAACATACTGGGAGCCAATGTCGGTCTCTCAGGACATCCTAAGGAAAAGTGGGACATTCTGAGATCAGATCAGAACTGGGACGGCTTCTCTAAATGAGGGACACCCCTGGGAAATAGGGTTATTTGGAGGGATATCTGCAGCATGACCAAGATGCAAACATTTGAATGGAAATATGTAAATGAAGAGGCGGGACCAGGCAAACAAAAGTAGGCTCAATTTCCAAAGATGGCATCACCAGCAGCAGGAAACAGTTATAGACCTATGCACACCAAACACCAATGTACCCTGGAGTGCTATTCTTCAGTAGCTACCAGTTTCCTTCTAGAGAGACAGACACCTGAACTGCTGCACTTGCATGGCAGTAAGAGCCAAAGCTCTCTTCCGCTGCTGAACCTGGATGGCTGAGATCCTACAGATTCCTTGGGGAGCAGGCACACAGGGGCAAGCATGTGTGCATAGGCACATGTGTTCATGACACAAGGACAGAGTGGACCTCTTAGGAATCTTTCCAAACACAGACCCTCTAGAAATAATCTTGCCTTGATAACGTATTTTATTAGCAGCTATTGTAATGCTCTGTAGGATTTTACACCCTTGAGAAAAAGCCTACAGATCAAAGTGCAGAATGGAGGAGTACTGGACTACCAGCAGTGAAGAAATGCAACAGGATAGAAGAGTTGCAGCAACTGCGAATGATGAGCCAGTTTTAATTCCTCGATTTGTATCCCAGCCTTATTCCCATCAGCTCAGGGCAGCAAACATGAGGTTGTCCCATTCCATTCTCACAGTGCCCCTGAAAGGTAGGTTTGCCTGAGAAATATTGACATGTTCTGGGGGTACTCAAGGACGAGCAGTACCGGCACCTCCCCCCCCCCATGTTAAAAGTGTGGCAGTTACTATAGCAACTTCATGGTGAGTACCGGCACCTTTTGTTTCTTTTAAAAAGAGACTGGACATGCCGCAAACCACCGACAGAACTTCACAGCTGAGCAGAGCTTTGAGCCAAAGTCTTTTTATTGTTGTTGTTGTTCCAAATCGAACTTCCCAGACTACAGATTGGGTTGTTTTTAAACCTAGCTGACAATCTGGCATCAAAAGAGGTATGTTTACAGCCCCATCGTACGCTCTGCTGTGTGCACTGGGTCAGCATAAAGGGATGAAGGAGATGCATATAGCATCTAATCATCATCAGAGTTGTCGTCATCCTTTACTGTCATCTGCCGTCAGGCTGGTTTAAAAATACGCTTGCTGTTAAATGCGGCAAGAAAGGTTTCCTGATTAAGGAGCCTCCAGCCTGCATAGCACATGACTGCTTGGTGGTGCCAGTTAAATGCTTAAGAGAAAAGGCACACTGGGCAGTGCACAGCAACAACTTCAGGGTCTGCTCTCACTGCACATGGTTGCAGCTGCACCAAGGGCAGCTTCTCGATTCCAGCCAGCACCAAATAACATTTTACAACACAGGGCAAGTTTCTAGATCTCATGGCTGGAAAGATTTTTTAAAAAAAACCAACAAACAAAACCAGGAGCACATCTGCAAATTGAGTTGTATGCAGTGTTGGTCCTACTTAGAGTAGACCCATTGAAATTGATAGATATAATAATAATAATAATAATAATAATAATATCTTTATTGTCATTGCCCCCTTCGGGGACAACGAAATTACTTGGCTAACGTAGGTCCATTAATTCCAATGGATCTACTCTGAGATAGCTGGATATAAGAAATACTTCCTTGCCCACACAAAAAGGTTCAAAGTATTTCCTTTCTCTCCATGGAAAACCCTCCCAGCACCTTTATCTCACCTTACTGTCCACCAAAGAATCATAGAATTGTAGAGTTGGAAGGGACCACAAGGGCCATCTAGTCCAACCCCCTGCAATGCAGGAATCTTTTGCCCAACGTAGGACTCGAACCCATGACCCTGAGATTAAGAGTCTCATGCTCTATCAGCTGAGTGCTCTCTCTCTATATATATATGGGACCTCTTCCCTTCTCCTGATTCCCTCTATTCACAATTAGACATTAAGAATACATAACTTATCTATAGGCTGGTAGCCTTGCAGTACATCAAGATCCCTGATAATAAAGGAGAGGAAGGAAGGTGCTCCAGTATATCAAAACATGCTCCGGTTAGCCTTGTTTACACACACGCACACCCCTCTTTTTCACAGCCTTGTCAAAATTTCTGCAGGACAGGAGCAGAGGAGGATCGGTGGGAGGAGGGGGGGGCCAAGAAATCCCCTTTCTCGCCAAAAGCCAACTGGCTTTAAAACGCATCCATTCTCCTTTGTTTTCCAGAGGAGGAAAGACTTTGTTTACAGCAATAATGGCCAAAGACTTTAATCCCGGCCTCTAGATTGTGTACATTCCGCTTTGACATTCATGCTGGTCACACACACATGGAGTCCCAAGCCTGTCTGTGCTAATCTGTCAAGAGGTGAATGGATAAAAGCTCCGGGATTCATTGCACTAAGCAAGGGAGGGGGGCGGCACAGAAAGGGAGAAGGGATACATTTCATATCCCTTCAAGAACCAGGCTGTGGTTTTAGTGCGAGGAGACGAGGGGGGGGGGTTGTTTTTGCTTCCTCTAAATAGCCGAGTGTGTTTAACCCAACCTCAGCTTCACAAGGCTGGGTATTAAAAGAGGCTGACTGAACACACTGTGACTGGTGGAGTTCTCCCTCCCTTTGGCCTCTGAAGTTTGCAATGACCGACAGTAACCCTGCAACCATCTCTCTCTCTCTCTCTCTCTCTCTCTCTCTCTCTCTCCTTTCTTTCAACATTACCATAACAGCCATAGCAGAGCACAGCTGCCTCCTCCTGTTGCTGCTGCAGGAGGTTGCTTCCCCAACATTACATCCTCATAAGCTACTCAAAAGTTGCTCAGGGAAACCAGTAAACAGAACCGTGCTGTGTGCCGCAGAACTTCTGCCTCCCTCCCTCTCTCTCTCTCTCTCTCTCTCTCTCTCTCTCCAGTATGTCAAATATCTCACACCCTCAAGTTGAGGACATAGGAAGCTGCCTTGTATTCCAAGCCCATCCAGCTCAGCATTGGCCACACAGACTGGCAGCAGCTCTCCAGGGTTTTCAGAGGGAGGGGGTGTTCCCATTCCCACCTGGAAATGCCAAGGATTGAAGCTGGGTTGCAAAGCAGATGCCCCTTCGCTGTTAGAAAGAGGTTGGCAGAAGAGGCAGAACGTTGCAAGTGAAGGGGAAACATTTCCTAACTCGGACAGCAGTTCGGCAACAGAACTGCACCCTTCGTCCCCATTAGAGTCATGCTCTCCTCCAGTCACCCAAACAGCTGTTTGGCAGGCTGGGAGGAGCATGGGCTATACATGAAGAGGATGCATGTTTCAAACTGGACTGCTCCACTGGTAAGAGCACGAGACTCGGAATCTCAGGGTTGTGGGTTTGAGCCCCACGTCGGGCAAAAGATTCCTGCATTGCAGTGGGTTGGACTAGATGATCTTCTGGCCCCTTCCTACTCAACAATTCTATGATTTTACAATGCTCCCCATGTGCCTCCCTGCACATCACACTCATGCTTTCAAGCAACTTGTGGCATTTTTTGGGAGGGGGTTGGCAGTGGGAGCAGCTGGGGCATGCACATCAGGTAGTGCTGAAGGCCCTCCAGGGCCACATCATGTGGCCCCTGGGTTACCCACATGTGCCTCAGAGGCAAAACAAGGGAGGTTTTTCGATTCGCCATCATGCGCTAAAAGTCAACGTGTCTTTTTTGCCATCTGCTTGAAAGCCACGCCATGGACATGTGGCCCAAATGACCCCATGATTTTCTCACATGATGGCATACAGTGGTCTCACATACCCATGCCCTGCACTCCCCATGGAGAAGTTCCATATGGGAAACAGTCCTGGACTTCCTAGGAAGGGTGTGCAGCATCTTTTTGTAAGACGCACTGAAGGGGAGGGGTACTCAATAGGTATGTGTTGGGATACAGCTGCTCCAACTTTGCCTACTCCTAAGGCAGGATTTGGGACTGACTACAGGACATGGAGCCCCTTCTAGTTGTCAGGTTGCATGATTTGCTTCCCAGTAAGAAAATGCGACCTCTTTTCTTGATTCGGTTATACCAATATTGATGTCAGACTGTGCAAGCTTTGGAATCGCACAGAATCCTTCATCCAACGAAAGGTTCTTTGCAGCTCGGAAGCTGCTGCCCTACCATACCGCAGGACACAAATTAGCTTCACGTAGAAAGACAGCCTCCTGCTGGTTTCGTCATCTCTGCCCTGTTCTCGACTTAACACAGCAACCACAGCTGTCTTGTCCTGTCTAGGCGCTCCACGTTAACATAAACTCCGAAGCCACCGCCATCTGCAGCGCCCATCCATTTGTCCCATAGCCGTGCATTTTGCGTTTCACCCCCTGGGGGAGCGGGAGGGGGGTCCAGAGAGAAAGCCAGCGGTGAAGCTTTGAAACAAACCAGAGTCACTTAAAACACCTGCTGGAAGGAGCCAAGCGTGCAAGTTAAAGGCAAAGCGGGGTTGGGGGGGGGCGAAAAGGAGGGCATCCCTAACAGTACAGGAGGAAGGATCAGTAACCGGATCTTTTCCAGCGTGGCAAGCGAAATGCACGCCGTGGGCTAAGAGAGGAAGCGGGGAAGTACCTGCACGTTTGTTTCTTATTCAAGGGAAAGCGCTGGCCGCATGTTGCCTTGCTGCTGAAACTCCTCAGCCAGGCAGCCTTCGCATATGGTGGGGAGCGCCGACTCTCTCCAGCGCCAGGAGCGGAGATCAGGATCCGCACAGGCGAGGATCTCTCGCCCTTCACGGCCAGGATCCGGGAAAGGAGTCTCTGCCCTCTCTCCCTCCCGCACCCGATCACTGTAAACATCTGAAGGCGCGCACACGCACCCCGTCCTGCCTCCATCTGCTGCCGCAAAGAGGACTCGCCTCGCCTCCCTTCCGTCCACATTCCTCGAATTCTGCGCGCAAGTCGCCCCGGCGGCCAAGCCAGCTAATCGATCCTTCGATCCGGCGGCCCTCTATATTGATTCGCCAGGCTAGAGCCGCCGCCGACCGATCGCCTTCTTGCTTAGCGTTTCCTGCACGCGCAGAATAAAGCAAGCATGCTGCCCGGTTCCTTGACTAGAAACTGGCTGCGTTTTCTTGCACTGAGGTTTACCCCCGCCCCGTTCTCCTTTCCTTCTCCCCCCACTCCCGTCCCGCATCGTGCACCACCAACCACTTATTATGGGTCACAATCGTGTCATTTGCTTCTTACCTGAATTTATTCAGTCAACCCCCGAGGGTGAGCGTGAGGAGGGGGACAGCACACCCCCCCACAATTTAAACTGCAAAAAGATCCCAGTAGGCAGCAGCTCCTCTTGACATTTAATTCTTTTTTTTTTTTAAGAAGATGGGTGGGGGAGGAGAGAGAGAAGCAAAAAATAAAACGGATGGATTAAACCCCTCCAAGGAGATGATGGGCTGGGTGGCAAGCGGCGTCCTTGAGAATCGCCCGCAGGCAAACAGGGTCCCGATGGGCGGCCAGCAACCCGGCCGGCGATGTGTCCTTTCGCTCTCCTCGCGTAGTACTATATCCCCATCACATGACTGCCAGGGAGGTTATCACAGTAAAAGGCAGGGGAAGGCTTGAAGGAGGCTCGACCCAAAGTGGCGCCCTCATTGGCTGAGGGAAAGGCAAGGGGCGGGCCTGAGGTTTTGTCGTCAATGGAAGTATCTGGTATGCTCGCTCCGTTCGCCTTCCCTCTCCCTGGTCCCCCCCCCCCCGCTCCGCTCCTCTCCCTCCAACCCCCCTTCCCCACCGCGCGGTCCATTTTTGTATCAAAGCCCAGGCAGGAATGTTTGGCTTCTGCTCTCCTCTGCTTACTCTCTCTGAGCCATGACAAAGAAGATCATGTGAAGGCGAGGTAGAAATCCCTCAGGCGTATATTTAGAAGGCTGTTCTAACTTGGAAGAAGCACCCCGCCCGGGGGACAAATGTCCTTCTGACAATAGTTTGGCATTTGAATTGGTCTTGTTTTAGGAAAGGGCTGTAGCATCTGCCTCTTCCCAGGTTCGATTCCTGATGTCACCAAGTAAAGCTGGGAGTGATCCCCGCACCTGCTAGAGGAGCCCCAGCTAGATAATACTGTTGCAGGCCACCCCAGTCTCCCAGGGGTGAAAGATTCCAGGGGTTCCAGGTACTTACCAGGGTTTGGTCTCCTTGGAATGAAGGGCAGCAGAGACGGTGGTGTCTTGATGATATATGGTTTATTTGCACGTATATGCAACCTGAGTCTGCGATGGAGGGGTTTGCAGCATAAACTTCCCAAGAGGGTCTTGTTTCTCCCTAGCTGCAGGCTTGGATACAAACAGATCTCAGCCATGGCTCTCCCTCCACCTTTTCCAGCCTGCCACTTTGGAACCCATCTTCTAGCTCAGATCATCCACTCTGGCCTCTGTCTTTCTAACTAAGCAAGGAGGGAAGCCCACCCATTTGCCCTCTGGCACAGAGCCGCTTCCTGGATGGTCTGGCTATTCCGCAGTTGAATCTGTGCTAGATCAGGGAATTAGAAGGAGGTCTCAGGTATTATAAGGGTCTCCACTTACAGCCTACCCCCCCCCAACTCATAACACTACTGAGGTAGAAGGACCTGGGGTCTAACTCAGCAGGAGGCCGCTTCCAGGATGGGTGACCATACTTCACTGTTATGAAGACCTGTACAGGTGGCTTTTCCTTTGTTAAAACCCAGTGCTTTCTCTTTTTGGCTTTTGATTCACCTTGGCTTCTTCACAGTCATTTTCTTTGGCTTAGAAAACCCCATATCATCCCTGGATGAGACATAATGTTGGAAAAAGCATGCTCATTTGAAATCCTAAAGCTTGCATATTATAGAGAGAGAGAGAGAGAGAGAGAGAGAGAGAGAGAGGTACCTCGCTTGCATATAATATATATATACACACACACAGTTGTACCTCGGGTTAAGAACTTTGCATCAGGATGAGAACAGAAATCGTACTCCGGCGGCACAGCGGCAGCAGGAGGTCCCATTAGCTAAAGTCGTGCTTCAGGTTAAGAACAGTTTCAGGTTAAGAACGGACCTCCGGAACGAATCAAGTTCTTAACCTGAGGTACCACTGTATACACACACACACTTCAAAAATAATAGACTTGGGTTTTGTTTTTTTTCTGCTTACTCAAGAGAATTGACCTTGTGTCCACTGGTGGAGTAATTGCCCTGCTGTACCCATTTTAAGGTAGCCTGATCCCTTGTCTGGGTGAAGTGCTCTCAAATGCTGCTGTTTGGACATGATGCAAGGGGAGTGCAAGATTAAATCATGCTGGGTGATTTCAAACAAAATGGGCCATAGCCTGAATGAAAGCATTTCAGTGTGATCAAGGGAAGCACACATGCCAAAATGTAGAACACAGAGATGACTTTGAGACTGTCATAATACACAGTGATCTGGGAAATGGGTGTGTGGTGGGGGAGAGGTTAAGAAATGGTACAATGCTCACACAGTCCAAACTTAATCTCACGGTGTCATTCACTGTTGTTTTAAAGATTTAGTCCCCAAACCAGCAAAAGTTAGGTGTGTCTATCCTATGCATCTTTCATCAGAAGCAAATTCCTTGTGCAGTGGAGGCCTGAGCTTGCTTTCTCAGCTGTAGATCTCATTCCGTTCCATAGCACTTACTCACTAGTAAGTTGGTGCAGGACAACACCCTTAGGGGCAAATCATACATTCTAAATGCGCAGTCTGCCACTGAATGGGGACACATTTTTCCTTTAAAATAAAAGTTGGGGTGAGGTGGATCTGGACCACAGCACAGAGGATTGGGTTGACTCCTTCCTCCATGCTGCAATCCAAATTAAAATTGCCTCCTTGAAGCTCCGCCCACCCTGCAAATGGCAGCCTCTGGGTTATGTGATTCCCATTGAGAGCGCAGTGATGGAGTGTTGGGAGGGGATAACACCCACCTCCCTGTACATCAGGGCCCTGATCACTCCATATGGCTTGTTTTTTAAGGGGGGGTGCAATTGCAAACTAGGAGTTTTAAAATAGCACAGGGATTGGCCCTTATTTAGGTTCTATCATTTTTAGATGGTCTTAGAGTGAGCGCACTGTAAGTTCCCAAAATGTTTTTCTTACACATTAATCTAAAACAAAGCAGCAGTTCTTATTGATTTCAGTGGTGCTTACTTAGACTCATAGAATCATAGAACCATAGAACTGGAAAGGGACGCCAGGGGTCATCTAGTTCAACCTCCTGCGATGCTAGATTCCTGCCACAGAAAACCCTGGGTGGGTTCAAACCACCAAGCTTCTGTTAACAGCCAGACACACTGGGCCAACCTTCCATATTCTTACTTCCACTGGCCCATATGCCCAGGAGTGTGCATCATATCTGGTGAATTGGGGTGATTTGGGGTAGACTTTCATGTTACTGAGGCAGATCGTGCTATTCACTAGGCATGTTGAGGTAAGGGGAAAGGGAGCATCTAATTGGCAAGTAACTCTGTTGCCCTGCATTTTCCATTAAGTTTGCATATAATAATAATAATTTAGAAAAAAAAACCCTCCTAAATTGTAAGAAATCATTACAAAAGTAACACTTCAAATGTCTGTCCTTTGCAGAATAATCCTAGTGGGAGACAAATAACTTGTTCTTCTTTGAAACATTGTTCTCTGTAGCTCATTTTTTCAGTCAGGTGTCAATTTTGACCAGAAAAGCCAAGACCATACAAAATTCTACTTCAAAACTCTACCTTTGTCTTCAAACTATCTCAGAGCTTGAGGAGGGGCCTCATCCATTTGCTTTCTGGCACAGAGCCCCTTCTCCTTGGCTCTCCTAATGGCTCTTCCTCTTTCCTTGTCTTTTTAATGGCTCATCTCCAGGCCCGGAAACTGGCCTGGCTTATATTTTAACCCTTGCTGAATCCAGAAGTTCATTGTCTGGCACCCAGGTTAACACTCGGAGCACTGAGTAAATTCTAACACATACTAGACCCAGGAATTTAGGAGAGACTGGCACCCACAAACTCATAACAATGTATCTATATTTACTGCATATGCATGCAAAAATACCTAAGTTCAATTCCTGACATTCCTGGAATGGTCTAGGAAAGACTTGCAAACAAGGCTGAGCTAGTTGGTCCAATGATTCAAATCAGTGAGTTTCCTGCCCTTGATATGCACTGGTGTACAGCAATGCATGCAGTCAGCAGATGGATATGCCTGAGGCATCAGGATCTGCACCGTCTAAGGAACAGCACTAGCTCAGCATCATCTTACATCAGTTTGTCCCTCGTTGAAAATGTACAGCTTGTCCCATGCTTTCTCAAGTCTTTCTCAAGTCTGCCTGCACTGGACTTGCCAATAGAGACAAAACACTGCAAACCCAGCAAAGGAAATTGCACTTGATGATTCACTTCTTGTGAATCACCTG